AAAAACCCCACAAATCCCCCCCCAGCCACTCTAGAATAAATATCTCGGTCAATAAACTTCAACTTAGCAGATCCAGTTCAACCTAAAAGACATCCCCATTATGATGTAATCTATGCTTAGTCATTTACCAGATAACCTTCCCAATGTATAGAGTCTCAGTTACCTGAAGAGTTACAATGAAAATTTGGGCTTAGTGGGAAGGGTGATCCACTGAAAGGGAGGCCACATCCTCTCCAGACATGTCTAAGGTTTAGTTAGCAATGTTATGATGTAATTTATACAAATATGTCTTCTTCCAATATCATGATGTAATTAACGCAAATATGTCTTCCAATCAAGTATCTGATCGTAAACCTAGTACATACTATGCTGTAAAAATCACATTATATAGCACCGCACTTAAAAGTTCATAAAAGTTATACAAAGCCATTATCTTAATGATTGGTGTAACACCCCGAATTTTTCTATTAATATTATGAATAGTTATTATTTATTTTGTATTTATGAAGATTATTTCCTTACAATTGTTTTGATTAATTAAATGGGTTTGATTGAATTTTTAAAGGTTTTTAATAATAATTATTTATGAAAATTATTTTGTATAATATTATTAATTATGATATTTTGTTATAATTATTATTTGAAGAAAATCATGTTTTAAATTGTATTGATATTTTATTTTAATTTGATATATATATATATATATATGTTATTTATTTATTTATTTATTAACTGGTAATTCTAGATTTTCATAACCCCGGAACGGGCCGTTCCACTTTGGGAACGGGCCGTTCCAACTCGAGCTTGCATGGGTAAAATTTCAACCCAGAACGGGCGTTCCACTTTGGGAACGGGCCGTTCCAGATGTGGTTTTAAAGAACATGGTATTGACTCAGAACGGGCCGTTCCACCTTGGAACGGGCTGTTCTAGTTTTAGAACGGGCCGTTCTGGGAGAGGCTTTTGTACATGTTCTATGTGCCCAGAACGGGCCGTTCCGGATTCGGAACGGGCCGTTCTGGCCGCAGCCTGATGCCTACAAATAGAGCGTTTTGCACTCTCTAAAACTCATTTTTTTTTCATTTTCTAATCTTTTTCCTCCTTTCTCTCTGAAGACAAAGGGGAACCTAGAGGGGGCGACCAACAAGATTCGGCTCCTGCTTATCGAGGTAAGGGGAGAGTGAAAAATCTTGCTTTGGGTGTGGGAATATATGTTGGGTAGTGAGATTGACCCCCAATCCTGTGTTTGATGTATTTGTTTTTGTATGCTCATGTATGAGGGGTTTCTCCCAATTGTATCTGTTTTGCTTATTATTTTTCTTATATACAATTAATTGTATGATTTGAGATCTCTATGGGTTCCATGGAAAACCCTATGAGAAACAGGCAAAATAGCAAAATATGAATGTTTTCTGTTTTGCTATCTGATTGCTCTATTGTATTCCTTGTTGAATGTAATGTGTAAGTATGATTAATTTTGAGAATAAATATGTTTTGATATGGTTTAGAGTGCTCTATGGGTTCCTGCGGGAAACCCTATGACAAATAGGCAAAATATGAATATTTTCTGTTTTGATTTCTGATTGTTATGTTATATTCCTTGTTTGATGAGATGTTAAAATATGTAATTAATTTTATAAATAAACAAGTTTTGATATAAATTAAAGTGCTCTGTGGAGGCTTTGTGAATATGATGAGATAATGTGAAATGTGATTGAGATATGAGATATGAAATGTGATAATGAAATATGATGATGAAATGTGATGACGAAATGTGATGTGAAATGACCATGAGAAATGATAATGTGATATGAGAATGTATAGAGTCTTGATTGACATGCATCATTTGCATAAGTGTTTTAAGGGTACGATATGGAATACACCGCCAGAGAAGGCCCCCTAGTGTAAAAGCTTTGGGGATTAGTCCTTGGGGATAGCTCGGTTTGGAAGTCCCAGTCTCGCCCATTGTGTGCATGGGATGTATCTTGCGCGGCTTAGCTATCCCGACGAGACTCTGGTAGTATATCCTTCTAGTGAGAGTGCGCAGAGGGTGTGACCCGGCATGTACTCCTAGACTACTCTTCGTGTATTGCTAGCGGCAATATGCCATGTGATGTTTTACTGGCGCCACATGCATGATAATATGTAGTCTGTGTCCATACATGTGCATTTTCAATGTTATATGATAAAGTGATGGTTTATGTCTTGGATGAATGAGATGAAATATTGTTATTAACATATTTATGCTATATCTGTCTTGTTTGTGTTTAGCTATCCGGTGTGTATTTCTACACTGTGAGCCAGAGTGAGATGTTTCTCACTCCCTTTGCTCGTGTTGTTTTACTTTGACTATTATACAGGTGATCATCAGCGTGAGGCTGAGGATGTGGACGATGGAGCTTAGGTTTCTATGTGGGATTTTGCTCTGATAGGACATGTGACATCAAGACATAAATAGAATTAGAATATGATTTGTTTATGTTTTACTAAAGTATATATTTTGGAAAATTCAATTTTTATTCTTTGTAATTTTATTTGCTATTTGGATTAAGTACATGAATGTGAATTCTCTACTCACATGATATTGGAATTGTCGTTTCAATTTTTAAATATTTTTTTTATCCAATAAGATATCTCTTTTTATTATTATATATATATATGTTGGGGTAGAGGGTGTCACAATTGGTATCCATACCAACTTGCCAAGCCAAATGCAAGCCTTCCCCACAAAACACAAAGCAAATGTTCAAAATCAAATACTTAACGCAGTTACCTACATACTAAAGTTGCACATGAACATATATAGATTAAACAATATTTCAACCTCTAGACACAGCGACAGAGTCTTGATTGACATGCATCATTTGCATAAGTGTTTTAAGGGTACGATATGGAATACACCGCCAGAGAAGGCCCCCTAGTGTAAAAGCTTTGGGGATTAGTCCTTGGGGATAGCTCGGTTTGGAAGTCCCAGTCTCGCCCATTGTGTGCATGGGATGTATCTTGCGCGGCTTAGCTATCCCAACGAGACTCTGGTAGTATATCCTTCTAGTGAGAGTGCGCAGAGGGTGTGACCCGGCATGTACTCCTAGACTACTCTTCGTATATTGCTAGCGACAATATGTCATGTGATGTTTTACTGGCGCCACATGCATGATAATATGTAGTCTGTGTCCATACATGTGCATTTTCAATGTTATATGATAAAGTGATGGTTTATGTCTTGGATGAATGAGATGAAATATTGTTATTAACATATTTATGCTATATCTGTCTTGTTTGTGTTTAGCTATCCGGTGTGTATTTCTACACTGTGAGCCAGAGTGAGATGTTTCTCACTCCCTTTGCTCGTGTTGTTTTACTTTGACTATTATACAGGTGATCATCAGCGTGAGGCTGAGGATGTGGACGATGGAGCTTAGGTTTCTATGTGGGATTTTGCTCTGATAGGACATGTGACATCAAGACATAAATAGAATTAGAATATGATTTGTTTATGTTTTACTAAAGTATATATTTTGGAAAATTCAATTTTTATTCTTTGTAATTTTATTTGCTATTTGGATTAAGTACATGAATGTGAATTCTCTACTCACATGTTATTGGAATTGTCGTTTCAATTTTTAAATATTTTTTTTATCCAATAAGATATCTCTTTTTATTATTATATATATATATGTTGGGGTAGAGGGTGTCACAATTGGTATCCATACCAACTTGCCAAGCCAAATGCAAGCCTTCCCCACAAAACACAAAGCAAATGTTCAAAATCAAATACTTAACGCAGTTACCTACATACTAAAGTTGCACATGAACATATATAGATTAAACAATATTTCAACCTCTAGACACAGCGACATGGTAAACCATAAATGTTCGTACCTGAACAAGACCCTTAAGAAGTGAGCCAATATTTGGAATTGCAAACCAATACTTGTTTGGATCAATAAGTTGCCTAGTCTGAAAAGTGTGTACCACAGTTATTAAACATAAATACTCAACCAAAAAATTGTATATATAAGGGGCATTCAGAATAAGTTTTGTAAAGTTTATGTAATTATATAAGCATATAACATGAAAATGGAAACTCTTTATGCTTATACTTGAAATATGAGGAAAAGGACTGATATATTATTTCTTAATTTCCAGTGTAAAACAAGGGTCCGTTTATACAGCCTAGGTCATAAAACCTATGCTATAATTATGGACATAAAATTAAGGCCAATTAAAACAAATTTGAAAATCTTAATGAATCAATCAAATTAAACATGCATAAAAAAAGGAAAGAAAAAATAAACACATCAAACACATGTTACAACTCTAAGCAAAGGACTCAACCTTTCTCCATAAGCTCTTTTTAGCTTATTTTAATAAGCTTAATGATAAATTTTATCAAAATAAGCGTATTACATTAAGTGCTTATAACTTATGCTCTCATGTGATAAGCTCTTATTGAATAAGAGTCAATTTATGCTGTTTACCCAAAATACACCCAATTCATACAAGCATTGTAGATAATATATATATATATATATAGATCGGGA